AAAAGTGTTCTTTCAGTCTGGTGTTATATATGATGATGAATTCTTTTATTATAAGTCAGCTTATTCACCAAATAATTTGGTGCTTCACCTCTTCGTATTTTAGAAACGAATACCAATAGCAAAAATTCAAAATAATCCTCAATAGGCAGCCAATTTGAACTTTTTAACATATCCTTTATCGGGGTGTACTTATTACATGCTAATATAATACGCATTGCTCTGTTTTGCAAGTATTGTATTCCATTCAAATCATTCTGATTCAAAAGATATAGAATTGTTGAACAAAAATTGAGGTGTAAACAATTTTCTTGGGAAAAAATGAGAGGTAGTATGTGAACATCTAGACATATAAAATATTCCATGATTCATTTTTGATATTATATACCTAGTTCGCATGTTCTCGGAATCATAGTTTACGATCTACTATGACTCCTAAATATTTGAATTTCTCAACTTTTTCGATACAATCATTTCCAATCTTCAAGTAATAGTCACTTATTGTCAACTCTTATTGTATTGCTTCCTTTCCGATCAACATAAATTTAGATTTTGATGCAATGATTTTTAGTAAATTCTGGCATGTATAGTAAACCTTATCCAAAGCAGATACTAAGTTATATAGATCACGTGAAAATGCATATATCAGTGTATCGTCCGCAAAAAGCTAAAAATATTGATGTTTATGCCCAGATTCATAATATCGTTGATGTACAACACGAAAAGTAATGGCCCTAATATACTGCCTTGGGGTACACCAAAATCATTTCCCGCTTCTGCAGATGAAAAGCCATCAAAATCAATATTTTGTTTCCTATTTTGCCTAGTACCTATTGAACCACATGAGAACTTCATTCAGTGCACACTATCCGTATATATATCCTTTCACATAATATTTCACGTACCGCTGAAAGGACCGATCTCGATATGGGGCATATTTCCGTGATTCTCACAGCAGCAGAATAAAAACAAAAACAATCCACACACGCGAGCATCGCAGAGGGCCTAATCGGGACGGCTGTGGGACCCTTTTTCCCGACCTGTTGCTCTTCGCAGTGGAAAAAATAAACGCGCGATATGCTTTTTGCGGGAACGTGTGTCCCAAATCACCACCCACCGAGCGATTCCCGGTTGCGGGGCTCTCCCGGAGGTGTCAGACCGCAACCCTTCTCATCGCGCGCGGGGTCTCTTAGCGCGAGCGATATTTGGAGTGGAAACAATGAAACTGCCATCAGGTCTCAGGTGAGACTCATTGGGCCGGATATGATTGGTGGATCATTTGGAAAGTAGGAAGTAGTTTTTTTATCTTGCATTTATTTGAGGAAAGAGCGCTCTGATGTTGATATCTATCATAAGACAACAGAAATTGGGAATATAAGGTGGTATACTTTTGATTTCTTTATGATGGACAAGAGCTGGTTACGATGAATTCTACATCCACATCAGAGAGACTGTCACCAAACACGACAGATCCTCGTCTCCTCTCACTCTAAAGTGTTTGTGAAACTTATATTTCCATCTTTATTCATTTCAGAAGATAAACACTAGATGTCTGACATTTGTTGATTTTTAGGTTATATCGAGGATATTGGCATATCATGCGTAATTTACACATGTAATTTCTCATTCAACTCTTCATATTATAACCAAATGATGATGATAATTTTCGAGTTGTTTATTTTTCAACTCCAGCATAATCTTTGTGAGGCAGAGAGCATATTTTTGGAAAGTTCAATACATTTTACCAAATGGGACTGTTCTTAGGCAGTACCTATCAATAAATGAATTTTGACTAAGCCTTATGGTTAAGAAATGGTGAAAAATTATATGTGAGTATTTAAACTAATGTGCTCATATGTCATTTGTGCTGTATATATTCATGTTAGGAATCATTTTCACAGTTTTTCACGAACACTTAATATTTCCTGAATGTAGGTATAATTTTTTGAATGGTAGGGCATAATGCGTCTTCTCTCAATCCTCCGTTTTGAACAAATCTGTTTATACTAAAATGCATTCAAAAACTTGTGAAGTGGGTAATTATAGACACAATGAGAAAGTATAATATGTGATTCCGTATTTGTTTTACCTCGAATAATTTGCTGGTGTATCTACCAATTTTCCTTATTCGGTCACTTCACTTTCCATGTTCTAGGTTCATTTGCATTTGATGGAAAGCTGACAAATTCAAATTTGCCATCCAACTGATTGATACAGCCTAACGCAACACATTTTACCATCCTTCCAAAACAGAATTGAAAATGTCGTATTAAAATCAAGTATGAAAATAAAATTTTGTAAGATCTCTTTTAACGCTTATGAATGTGACGTGACAGCAATGTCATGTCAGGGACGCCAATATTCACGAAACCAAAGTCACTAGATGATAAGAAGAGAAAGGAGCTATGATCTGTAATGTTAGATGACAAATACGTCAGTTTGCATCAAGTGTCCATAGTTACCAAAAAATCAGTAAATTATTATATAATCTAAACAAGATCGAATTTTCAGAATACTTTTTCGAATTATGAAAGAAAATAATCAATGGACAATGTGATTTTACACCCCGAATTTGGATAACCAGCCTGGTGTCCTGTAATATGTGTGTTTCTGCTTCTCAATGAATAACCCTGGTTTTCACTGATGTGACCCAATTTTCAATACAAAGTTTGATTCTGGTTCAAAAAAGACAATAAGAAGGCGTTTAGGAGAAATTGGTTGAATAAAGAAGAAGCGCCGCAGGCGAAACATTCGTTTTTTCAGGTCTAATATATTCGTGGTCACTTTGGAAACCTGCAGAACATCTCTTCCCAAAGACTCGTTCATCCAACGAACAGCGAGGCTCTGGAACACATTGCCAAGGGAGGTGTTCCCCGAGTCATATAACCTCCAGAAATTTAAGAAGAACACCAATTCCTCGACCAATTCCTACCTTATTTCCCTTAGTTCTAACTATGTTCTCTGAACATTTCAGAATTTCCCTTTTCGTGGGAAATAGGACATAAAAAAAGCTGCATATTTTATTTCATTCCATGTGGCGAAAAATAAGAGACATTGGATATCTATTAGATGATGTTTCATTCAAAAGGCTATGAATGAGAAACTTCTCATTTATTATAGGAAGAAATATGGAAAAACCAATACCTACATGTATGCGAAGAGATCAAACAGTCCAAAATAAATTGAATGATAACGCCACATCACTATTAAATGTTTATGCTTCCAAAATCCTCCCATAGGAGCGGTACTGTTCCCCAGTACTCTGCTGAATGGATTTGTTTGCAAGACATGAATAAAAATCTTGCCATTTCGTTTTAAAGGTCATGATTTTCGATGGTAAACATTGAAATCAATTTGTATTTCTAAAACGGTAACAGATAGGCAAAGAGAGAAATATCAAGAAAAGTTGTTAGGAAACTGTTGGAAATTCCAAAAATCTTATATACAGTGTCATTCATAAAGTCGGCATCATATGGGAAAAACTTGTATTATCGACTCATTTTGGAATTCGAGTTGGACGTTAAGTTTTGCTTCCAAAAAGATGAAAAATGGCATACCCAATCGGGGTCACGTGACTTTCGCTACGTCAAAAGTGACATTTTTTCAAATTAATCGCTGAAAGTAGGCTTATTTGTTCGAATATCGAAAAAGTTTACTTGAAAGAGTTGTTTCTAATTCAATTTTACACATGCTTCTCGAATTTTATCTTTCTATTGCAACTTTTTGATTTTGATTTTTTTTTTAATTTTTCGAAATATCTGTAATATTTGAAGAATTGTTAATCCCACGAAACTACTTCATGCTAGTAGCTTTTTCATGCTACTTACTTTCAATTACTCATTTTCACTGATTATGGACAGAAATATGATTTTCTTCAGAAAATGATAATACCCGCTTTCAAATTCTGTTATGTTTGATGCAAAGTTGATACATCGTCACGCTTTTAGAAACAAAATTCATTTAAACTGATCTTTTCAGTACTGGAAAAATAAATTTAAATGAATTTCGTGTCTAAATGCTTGACTCAAACATAACAGAATTTCGATGTTATGTTTGCATCAAACATAACAAAATTTTGAAGCGGAGATTATCATTTTCTGAAGAAAATCATATTTTTGTCGATAATTAGTGATAATTAGTAATAGAAAGTTAGTAGCATGATAAAACTACTGATATGAAGTAGTTTCATCGAATTTACACTTTTTTCAATATTACAGAAATTTCGAAAATTTTTAAAAATGATCGAAATCTAAAAAATGTAATAGAAAGTTAAAATCCGAGTCACATATGTAAAATTGAAATAGAAACAACTTTTTTAAGTAAACTTTTTCGATATTCGAACAAATAAGCCTACTTTCAGCGATTAATTTGAAAAAATGTCACTTTTGACATGTAGCGAAAGTCACGTGACCCCAATTGAGTAGGCCTTTTTACATCTTTTTTGAAGCAAAACTCAACGTCCAACTCAAATTCCAAAATAAGTCATTAATAAAAGTGTTTCCCATATGATGCCGACTTTATGAATGACACTGTATAAGGTGTTTCATTTGGAAAATCAAAGTTGCTACTACTTTCTAATAGCAACACCGCATTGTCGGTAGTGAATGTTGAATGCTCTCCATAGGTTAGGTGAATGTGATCGGGTGTCTGAATCACCAGGAACGTCTAATGTGCCATCCACCTTGAATCAGCCTGAATGAGGAAAGAGGGGTTTTCATCCATGTCTAGTGCTAAAAATACGCTCATTATATAATTTACTACATAAATAGCCATTCGGTATATAATATTATGATTGAACTAAATAAATAATACTGTCTGTGACCGGCTTTATGCGACATCAACACGGTTAGCAAAAACCAAGAATAGTCATGATATAATCTTTTCGAACAAAGCTTTTAATGCGTTTCTATTCAACTGTCAATTGCAGTTTCAATCTTGTACACATGAGTGTTAGATTCAAATCACATGGTTTTAAAATATCAAGACGAATCAAGTTGATAAATGTTTGCATACTAGTGGAGTAAAATATGCTGCATGTCGACTATTTAAAACAATCTCATCGCAGACTCTACTCAATCATATCTATAACCTTGTTAAGATTCCAAGTTCAGAATACAATGGATAGAACACATGGAAGATTTTTCATTTATTGGGCAGTTATTTCAGGTAAGCTAATATTATTCTCCAGATTTTTTTTTCAATTTTGTTTTTCCTTTAATATAGTGAATGTATTGTCGTTCAGTGCTGGGGTCGCTTATTCTTGGTCCTCACCAAGTCTACCGAAGCTAAGCAGCCATGACCCTCAAGTTAACCCGTTATTTCGACCAACCACAATATTCGAAAATTCTTGGATAGCTGCCATCCTCTCCTTGGGCTGCATATTCGGATCCCTCAGTTCAGGAATGGTATCTACGTCATTCGGAAGGAAAAAAACTCTGATAATGTTCAGCTTACCAATGATCCTATGCTATGTTCTGATAGCGTTAGCTGAAACTGTCAATGTCCTGTACGTTGCCAGGTTTCTGCTAGGACTTGGAACCGGTTGCATCTACTCGGTTCTACCAAGTTATGTCGGGGAGATATCGGAGGACTCGAATAGAGGATTTCTTGGTAATTTCATGGGGGTATCTCTAAGTCTAGGCAGCGCTTTCTCTTATGTTGTGGGTCCTTTCGTGAGTGTTCGAATGTTCAGCATATTTCAGCTTGTATCGCTCTGTATAGTGTTCTTCACTTTCGTGCCATTCGTACCTGAAAGCCCTTATTATTTCGTCTCGATCAACGACCATCAAAACGCACAGGAATCCTTGAAGAAACTGAGAGGTAGGACAGGGCCAACTGTGCAAAAAGAACTTATATACATCAAAGAATACGTGGAGGAGACAAGGAGCAATAATGTGCCACTGAGGGACGTTTTGAATGCTAAATCCTCACGAAGAGGTCTTGCTGTAATTGTTGGACTGATGGTATGTCAACAATTGTGTGGAATATGCGCAGTCCTCTCTTATATGCAGTCTATATTTGAGTCCACAGGCACCAATATTCCTCCAGAAATCGCACCCATTCCTGTGACCACCATCCAGACGGTATCTATGTTTATTTCTACTTTCCTTGTTGAACGACTTGGGCGTAAGCCTCTTCTACTTATTTCATCTTCTGGTGTGTGTTTAGCACTTGCATCTCTTGGAACGTATTACTTTTTAGAGGATAATGATTTCGATACCAGTAGTATATTTTGGTTGCCACTTTTGAGTTTGGTGTCATTCAGTATTTTTTTCAATATCGGCATGGCTTCTATACCTTGGACCCTTTCTGGTGAATTGTTTCCTTCGAACGTTAAGGCCATTGCTGCAAGTATTTCTTCGTGTGTTTGCTTTGTTGGATCTTTTAGTATAACAATGGGATTTCCTTACATGACATTACTTCTGGGTATGGCTGGTTCATTTTGGTTTTTTGCCGTTTGTGCGGGATTCACTTTTGTTTTCATTATTGTTATGGTACCAGAGACTAGAGGAAAGAGTTTTTCCGAAATTGAAATGATGCTTAATAGTGCGAATAAGATTTGATTGTTGTATTTTTTTATTTTCATTTGTATCAAAACCTGAAATAAATTGAAAAAATGTTGTATATATATACCGTGTATTCATAAAGCTAAATTCTGATTTCTTCGAAATCCCTATGGAATGCTGAATTTGAGAATATCTAATACATAGGATTTTTTATACAGTGCGTCCGTTGAATGAAGTGTTCTCAGAAGGTATAGTGGATAAATTAATGTTGAGCCAAACCATCCATTCCTGAAGAATCTCCTGAAACAGATCGAGTTTGAATCTCAATTTGCCATATCTACACTGAATGAGTGAATATATAATGTGATCTATGTTTCAGGTAAAACTTTCGCGACAATTTCTTCAATAGAAACATGTCATTCAATTTTCGAGGTTTTCATAAAAAGCTGATTTCAACAAATATATCACACATAGGGTTTTTATACAGTGCGTCTGTTAAATTCAGTGCTATTGTAAAATGGGATTGCCATTAAATTATACCGATGACGTAGTTATTCATACACGAATCATTCTGTATATATTTAATGAATTTAAAAGGAAACCCGAATCACCCTGTAAATTCATTTATCCCGTATAAATGTGGAAAATTGAGAATCAAACTTGATCTGTTTCAGGTGATTACTCAGAAATAGATGGTTTGGCTATAAATGAATTTTTATCCACTATACTTCACGAGAGCACTTCATATAACGGACACACTGTATACAAACCCTATGTGTGATATATTTTTGAATTCAGCCTTTCTTGGAGATTTCAAAAGTTGGATGACATATAGGGTGTTCTATTTGAAAAAATTGTCGCGAACGTCATAATTCAAACGTGGATCATCCTGTATATATTTTTTTTTTCTCATTGATATAGCAAATTGAAAATGAAAATCGACTTGTCTCAGAAATATAAAAATAGTTTGGCTAAAAAGGAATTCATTCAGTATAGTTTACCAAAGAACTGCGGTATTATGTATACGGGGTATTTTATACATGCCAAGGTATAGAATAAATATTTGTGCCATGCTGCTAAGATGTTTTAGCGGCTTCGCTGAGAGAGAAATTACCAACATTTTGAAAAATCCACAGGCTGCTATTTTTTGTGTAAAAAACTAACGGACTCGCCCCGTGAGTGCGCTCCTGATGGTTATACTCATCAATTCTATAATAGTTTCATAATACACCCATTTGAGATGTTAACAATGAATATGAATTTGTTTTTCCTAAAAAAAATCGTGGGTATTTTTCAAGGAATTTGACAGATTGTATCTCGGAGACGAATCGTTTCCAGACATAATATGATTATGTGAACTTCCTTATTACTTCAACACAAACAATATGACCGTGAAACACCCTGTATATAAACAAGCCACAGTCTTGAATCGAAGCAAAGTCTAACAAAAGAAGTAAAGACATTTCACTTTCAAAATTCTTCGAAGAAAGCAGCGTACATACATTAGACTGTACGCTGAAGAAAGTGAAGATTCTGCACCAGCATAAAAATCTCGCCATACTGGTTGAAGCGAATTATCGTTTTTTTTTTCGTGAACGGGTAATGAATTTTTGAAGGTCAATTTTGGCCTACTGCCGCGGGCCTCCATCGTCTCTTGACTCCATGAACGAAGACGTGATCAGTGTTGCCAGAAATGCCAGAAGGAAAAAACTAATTGTACTGAAATCACGAATGAATTGTATTAAAACTAGGTGAAATGCACCAGAAATTGAATTTTGAAACAATCGATGTAAAAATTGATGGACAATGGTTTTTATTTTTCATTGCCAGAAATGACTACATCATACATATATAAAAAACATAGGGAAAAAAAAGAAAATGATAAGATGAAAAAACGTTCAATCAAGTACATAGCCAAAAAGATAAAAAGCATAATATACAGTGTCATCCATAAAATCGGGAAAATATATACCATCAGGTATACCCAATAGTCAAAAAGATACAAAAAATATAAAGCATCATCCTCAAAAGGTGACTGTTCATCAAATGTTTGAAAAAAAAACATCAGAAAACAGTACCTACAGTTGAAGTTTGATGTCATGAATAGTCTTTCTTGATGTCTCTCATTATGGTCAGCCCCATGGGTATGTATTGTTTTTCGTTCTGATTTGATAGAAAACGGAAAATATTGAGGATTTTTGAGATTCTTGAGAGATTTTAGAAGATGGAGTTATTGTTGATCAATAAAATCGTATGAGCCTCTTCTGATTCTGAAGATACATGATACACAACACACAACGAAATCCGTTTTTCCATCAATATGTTGTATATTCCATTGTTCCATCGTTTCAGCATAAATTCCATCAGAACAATAATTGGTGACGTTACGACAAAAAATCAGTAGGCACACTATCTTCGATTGAATGAAAAACATGCCCCATCAGTCAGGACAACTGATTGTATAATAAGAAGCAGAAGATCTGTCAGTAATTCGTTTTTCTTTGTAGCTTTGTGAAATAAATGTTCAATCGTAATGAGCTGAATGTACTGACCAAAACATGAAATTGTACCAGAATTGAGTGAAATTTACTAATATACTGAAGGGTATGAATTATACTGAATCTATAGAAATGTACCAGCTCTGGCAACACTGGTTGTGATTCATCCCGACATACCAAACCTGATCATCAATGGAATCTCGTCTTTGGTAGTGCCATCTCACCGTGAAGATGTAGAAAATGGCTTCGGTTATTCCATCCAAGAATACTTCGATTCTTTGTAAGCCGATGACTATTACTCGTCTGATCGATGTGTCATCACGCATCTGATTTTTTTTCTATATGTTAAGAGTTCGTCATCCTCAGGCATCCTACTACTCATTGGAGAAAACTATGGAGAATTTTATTAGTGATGGGCCCGCTCAAAGCGCCCATCAGGTCCGTTTGATGCCAAAGTCCCTATGGATAAGGCACTTTGGGCGTATTCCAGGCGTTTCCAGGACGCTTTCGAGAAATTTTCTTATTTACCGCTTCAAAAAATAACCTAAAAACGACAGAAAGCATATGGCGGTTGTTACTCACTGTTGTTGTTACTTTATAATAACTCAATAACTGGCTAAGTGAACTTGACAAAGGTAATTAATATAGTATGTATAAATATTTGATGATCAAATAGCCGTGAAGGCGACGTGAAGAAATTTTCCTATTTGATTTTCTTTCACTTTTATAGATATGATAGTTTCATTGTTTCATGCGTTTTCATTTTAATATTTTCTTTTTGAGAATTAAACAAAGTTTTTCGATCATGTATTTTTACTACTTGTTATTGCTTAGTCAATCATCCTTGTATATAAAAGATGTCGCATTACACAAAGCAATTGTAGGAAATGTTAGTATATTATCGACAATAATTTATCCATTTCATTAAAGCTGCCTTGCAAGAATGTTATTTGTATCATGTATTTGGTATCAAGTTTCAAGTTTCAAGTTTATTCCTTCTCTTTTTTTCGAATACAGTTGATATACAATCAGTTTATTACAACCCTTCATGTGAGGATGGATGCACCTAAGTATCTATAATACTAGAAGGAGAAGTGAAGAGTATGTTGAATATCATTTCCATTCAGCTGAATAAATCCAGAAGTTCGGTATTAATGATGAATGACTTGATTGATTTTTTGAATTTATTGAGATTGGAAATATTTCTTATGCTGGCTGGCAGGAGATTGAATAATTTCGGACCATGATAGAAAATACATCTCTGGGTGTGACTCCTTTTGAATGCTGGTAGATTTATAGATGAATTTGTAACGAATCTTGTTTGTTTTTCTTTGTGTATCGATTGAAGTGTGGATTTGTTCATGAACACCCATATCAAACATTGTTGGATATAGAGGTCTCTCGATTTTAGTAATCGAGTTTCCTCATACAGACATTCCGTAGAGAATAATTTTGGTTTTTTAAACGATATTTTTAATATCGTATTTTGAGTTGTTTGAAGTATATTCAGGGAATTATTGAAAGTGCCACCCCAGGCAGCAATACAATATCTCATTACCGATTCTGCTAGAGAATGATATATGGTGATCAGATTTTTATACTCCAGGATATTTCTTAATTCATAGAATTTCTTAATTAACTGTCTGAGTCGTTTCACAACATAGTTTATATGGTCATCCCATCTCATATACTGATCCACAACAACTCCTAGATACTTGATCATTTTTGTTCTTTCTATAACAGCACAATTGCAGTTAGTTGTATTAGTACAGTCTTGTCATGGATATGCGTTATGTTTTGCCCCGGTTGATTATTCTGCGATAGAGTGAATGTTATAAATTTAGTTTTCTTCACATTGAGACTCAGATGGTTGTGATTAAGCCATATCTGAACATCTCTCAGTCCCTCTTCTGATATTTCAATTACCTCCATCCAGCTACTACCTGTAAAAATGAGTGCAGTATCGTCCGCGTATGAGATGAGATGGCCCTTAAAATTGTTGATGAAGCTGATACTGTTGATGTAAATAAGAAATAATATAGGTCCTAAAACTGTTCCCTGCGGTACTCCTGTTGTGACTTCCATTGCTTCACTCAGGTTATTGTCAACTTTGACCTTCTGTGTTCTATGTGATAGATAGTCTTTCAAAATATTGTATGTTGGACCACGTATACCATATCCAAGCAGTTTTTTCAATAACATACCATGTTCAACAGTGTCGAATGCCTTTGCCAGATCTAGAAATATGGCTAAACATCAAAAGAAAGCTTACTGCATTTCCTATTCATTTCCAACATTCCGGAATAAATGAAAGTAAATGAAACCGTTCTGCGTAAGCCGATCTCTAAATTTTATACATTCTGCTATAATAGCACGGCGTTCTATGTTTCATGATCTCTTTGATTTACAGAATAGATACAGGGTGGTTCAAGATTCGGAATCCTGATCACCCTGTCCACCCCAAATTAAAAATATTCAGGATGCAAGAATGAGAATAGCATGCCTATAAGTTATACTGTACAAGTGTACATACCTAGTTCTTGGTTTCAGTTTGTTAGTTTCATAAATATGTTTTCTTTAAATGACTTGTTATGTGAGGGAGGCGAAAAAATCATATTTATAACATGGGGGTAAAGTGCCATTCC